AATATTGATGAAAATATTGATAGTTTTTATAATAAACAAAAAATGAATGATGTTAATGTATAGGATAATTAGTGATTTTTAAAAAAAAATTTTTCTTATAAATATTTAATAAATAGAATTTTTATATAAATAAACATTTATATTTTAAAAGTTATAATTTAATATTTTTTAATTAAATTATTAAGTAAATAAAATTATAAAAATTTGTAAACAATATAATCAAAAATATTTTTAATTAATATTGAAATATATTTTAAAAAGATCAATATTTATAATTAAATAGTATCTTTATATTAATTAAAGGAAGTACTTATTTTAGGAGATACTATATGTAGTATTATATAGTAAATGTAGTAAACTTTACATGATAGATTTTCTTAAAATAGATTTATGTAATATCATCATATATAGACACTTTTTTTCTTTATATAATAATAATATTTTAACCTTCTTCTAATAAATAATCTTTATAATTTAAGATATAAACAAAAGATTCTCTATAATCTATATATAAATATTAAAAAAAATCTTTACTTTTCAGATATCATCCTTTAGTTATTTTAACATAAATCTTAATATAGAATTTTTTTAATAAACTGATTCTTAATATCTCAATTAATAATCAAACTAATGCAAAAGAACAACTATCATATCACATTTGCAATATTACTTGATAATTGAGTTAGCAAAAAAGGGCAATCTATATATTATATCTCACCTAATAATTAAGCTGATGTAGAAGGCTTACATCTTTACTAAAGAAGTTAGCAATCAAATAACTTAAAAATAAGAAGAAAATAGTAATAATTAGACTAAATAGTAGGTAGTAATTAGATTTTAAAGTGATACTCATAACTAGATAGTAGTTTATTTATGAATAGCAGGAAAGGTTTAAAAAAATAGCCAAAATATAAAAAAGATAATTAATAAAAAGAAAAGGGATAACATTTAGACTATATCTATTAGATTATAAAGTAGTAATCAGATTATTGATATTAGATTATAGAATGATAAATAAATTATATAGTGATAATAAGATTATAATGTGATAATTAGATTATATAGTGGTAACCAGATTATAGAGTGTTAATCATATTATATAGTGGTAATAAGATTATAGTAATACTATAATCTGCCCTAAGTGATATATCACTATATAATATTATATGATGGTATACTACTTAAAAGTTTATTTAATTAGTTTACAAAAAAGTTAAATCATTACAATTTTATTAATTTTTACAAGAATTTTAATTTTAAATATGTATTTATTGAAAGATATTTATTAAATAAAGTCTTTTAATGATGTTTATATCTTGATTTTTGATAAAATAAATTATGTAATTAGTTTTCTAAAAAAATCTATATCTTATTATACCCGGGTTTATAATTTAAACCGACTTTATTATTATAAATTTTTAAAAAAGTTAATGATCACCTCTCGAATAATTGTGCGTGATTTTGGATTTTATTAAAAAGGTGAATAGCGAATTCTTTAATTTCATTAGAATTTTAAAGAATTTTATTAAATTAAGTGAAAATCATCAGAATAAACTAATATTGACATTATATTTGGTTACAATTCGAATGATTATTTAAGAAATGGAAATTACAAACCTTGGAATTCGTAGTTTCAAAACATGGAATATTCGTAATACTTTTGTGTTTCAATCAAATTTTCAATTTCACTATTTACTAATTAAGTACAAAACCACAAACAAATAAAGTATTCCGCTGATAATATTTTTTCACGAGCTTTTTGTTCTTTTTAATTTAAATTAAACTTTCGGATTAACTTTTGAAAATTTAAGATCATCATCATTATAAACAAATCTGTATTGATAAACGAATTATTATTATGGAATGAATCCTTTCCTTTATTTATAAACCAATTATTTTTTTTCTCTGATTATCTCAAAGTGTAATTTGTTATGATCATTTTTTTATAACAAAACAAAATTAGTATGAGCATCAATTATAGTACTAAAAATTATCACTTAAAAAAACAACCCTTTGTTAATAAATTATATTTATTAAATATATATATATGAATATATATATATAAATAAATAAATAAAATATATAAAATAAAAATAATTTTACTTTTTTTTTTCTAATAAAAACTAATAAAACAAAATATATAACAAAAATACTGTAAGTTAAATATCATATTTTTTTTTTTTTTTCACCATAAAACCTTTTGATTAATGATACAAATTTTCATTAAAAAAAAAAAAAAAAAGGAAAAAAAAATGTCAGTAATAAAATAAAAGTATATATATATATAACAGATATAACAGATATAATAAATAAAATAAATAAATAATTAAATAATTAAAAAAAAAAAATCCGAGATCCTTTCTTTTTTTTAATCCCTACCCAAATTATTTTTTTTTTTTTTTTTTTTTTGTCATTAACCAAATTCTCTTTCTTTTTTTTCTTGTAATTCATATTCTTCCTTCGCTATGCATTCTGTCCCGACTTTGCATGTACTAGGCGTGATTGATTGAAAAAGTCGTCATATCATAAATCTTTCAATTTATCTCCATTCTGTTATCGAGATAGTCCTGACCTCAACAACTTTTTCAATCCATCATCCTCTTGTAACTTGCTTGAGATTATTCCATTCTGATGTTGCATATAGATTAAAATCCTGTTAAACCACCACCAGCATAACCAACAGATTCTTGTTGATATACACGTTCTGATGACATTGACTGTTGATGTATTGGTACATTGTTACTGCCAAACGTAGTTGTACTCGCTGCATGACTTCTAGTAGACCTTGCCGATGAAGCCAGTGAACTATTCGATCTTGTGGCTCGTAAACGCTGAGTTGGTGTTGGAGTATTTGATCGTTCTCCAGTCATAACATCATTCTGCTGTACACTATCTTGTATGGTAGGTAAATATCCACGATTAGATATTGAACCACTATAAGCCGATACGGATGACGAAGATCGTGTCCTTGTCTGAATAGGTGTAGTTTGTGATGACAAATTTATCGACGTTGAATATGGATCATAATAAGATGATCTCGTGTCAGATGATATAGCTGCCGTTAAAGGAGGACTTGCAGGGTTTGCCCAACTTGAAGAAGATAAAATATCAGAGTCAACCATTGAAATGCGAGTTGATGATACGCTGCCTCCTCGTGACACTGTCGGATCCCTTTGCTGCTGTTGCTGTTGAAGCATTTTCTTTGCGGCAATCATGACCTTAAGAGCACGAATTTGTAAACCCGTTCGATGTGAAAGTGCAGCTGTTTCATAAATTAATGCAGCTGTTGACATACTTAAAGATTGATGTAATGCATGTGATGCCAACTGTCGTAAACGATCTAAATCATACATATCCGCCAGCAGCAACAGTTGCGCCAAAACTTGAGGCTGATGTTGTTGCGATGTAAGAAGATGATCAGTATATAGAAATTGTAAAAATGCCAATGTAACGGAGTATGGCTCAGGAAACTCTAGGGCCCTATGATGATACATTAATATCGGCTCATCATCCAGATCTTTTACCGTCTCTTGATCATATTTTGGTTTTGGCGCTCTGTCCGCTTGTTGATCAACTAATGCCTTAAAATGCGGCCACCTTTGTGATAATAATTGTGAATTAACAGGTATTCGCTTATCGTCTTGCGTTACAATTTCAAAATCCGCCAGATTAGTATCGTTCAATAACGTCAATCCTAATTCTTGCGCATTCGTGGCCATTGTAGCAGGTGGCGGTTGATACACTCCAAATGCTTCCAAATCTACAACAGTTACATGATCGAAATTTGTTTGTCGATGATTATAATCATCAACAAGTGATCTATCGCGGTGACCAAGTACAAAATATTTGTTTGCTGATTCACAAAGGATACCTCTGTTCCATGAACCTTGTAAGAAACATGAACCAGTATCAATCCGTGTCCAAACCAGATTTGCAAGGTTTAAAGCCCATATACTAAAAGTTTGACTAGTGTTTGTTAAGTAGGTTCCTGATATAATAAGATGCTGTCCAAGGATCGTTCCAGTTGGGAAACGAAGACCCGGAGGTAAGGTTGCACCCGTCATATTTGAAGAATGATCCATGATTTGATAATTTGACGTTGTAGGTGGTGCGATAATTTGTAGTTCACGTTTCACAGCAGTAAAATTATAATTCGAATATAAATAAATTGGATTCGGATTTTCTTCAGTAACACTAGTCGTATATGAAAGTCGGTAAAATAAACTGCCCGAAGATTGTAATCTTTTGATAGAACGTGAGCGCATAAGGGTTTGACCTGAAGGCGTTCTACGTAGAGAACCTGAACGATTGAAAGCACCAACTGATGGTGGTTTACGAATGGGATTAGAAATATTATTTGTGGTGGGTAAAGCCTGCTGAGAAGTTGACTTTCTCAAAGGTGTAGTAACGTTTGAGTCTGATGAATTCGAAGGAGAAGAGGAGGTTGAGTCATCAAACGACGCAATTGAAGAAGAGTCACTAATATTATTACTAAATAATGGGAAATTAGTATGATTAGTGCTACTAACTGCCACCGAACGATATGCACCGCAATGTTTTTCAAAAGGTCGTGATGAGGTCCAAGTCTTTTCATCCAAATCCAACACATTAATTTCTTCAATATAAGAGTTGGACATGTCTTGACCACCTACCACCATCAACTTATTTGCAGTTACAGCAGCCAAATGAGCATATCTTGGTTTTGGAGAAGAAGGTGAAGGTGATATCTCAGGATGATTCCAAGTGAAAGTGTCCAAATCGAAGATAGACACATCATCTAACACACATAAACCATCATTTGAAGATTTTGAATATCCCATACCACCAAAAAATACGATTGAATTCTTGTACTGATTAGCGGAATGAAAATATCTAGCTTTAGGTGCTATTTGATCAGGATCTTGAAATTTTGTCCATACATATGTTTCTAAATCAAGTACGTATAATTCATTTGTCATTCGTCGAGAAGATACAAGACGTCCCGCGAATAAATATAATCGAGTGTCTATAACAGTTGTAGAGGAACCTACAAGTGGTGGTGGAATATCTCCTGTAGTTAAGTGGGTTGAGGCTGTAAGATCTGATATTGATTGAAGGCCAGGATTCGAAGTCATTTTTATGATGAATAAATGCTTGTTTGTGTTGCTTGATTTTATTTACTCTGAGCCAAATATAAAAAAAAAAAAAAAAAGGGGGGATAAATAACTAGTCGGAACTGTCAAAGTTATTCAAACATGAAAATATTTTATAGGAAAACCGTTCATAACATTCGCTTACTGTTAAACTTTCAAAGTCAGGCACAGATGAGTAAATTTGAACTAATGGTTCAAGGAACATAAAGAATGGAATCGTGTCCAGCGATTCAAGTCGTAAATAGGTGTTGTATTATAATTCTATTATTAATAACGAGTGCTAAATATTTGGTAGTTATTTAATTACACTTGCTTTCTTTCTTTCTTTTTTTCTTTTTTTGAATGCAAACAAATATTACTGTAATACAGTCGTTAAATGGTTTTTTGTCTTGTTACGTATGTTCAGATGAGAAGTAAGTTGCAAATGCTCAAGTGACGAGAAACAGCATGGGACACAACAACCGTTGTTAATGTACAAATTTGAAGGAATTTTTTATTAATAAGTTTATAAAAAATTTTTTTTTTTTTTTCGTTCGCGTTGTCAAAATTAAATCTAGTGTATGGACAGAAAGAGAATTAAAAAAAGTAGAAAAAGGACAGAATCCTTATAATGAGAGAGCTTATAGGTATAAGTGAAGTGCCGTGCAAAACACAACACGCGACCTAGGAAGAAAATTTCAGAGGAAGCGAAAAAAAAGAAAGAAAATATAGTACAAGGGGGAAGGATTAAAAAAATTTTAAAGTATGGTCGTTTTTGAAGTTCATAGAATTATATGTAAAACATACACTAAATTTTTTTTCTCAGATGTTTCACGACCACGACTAAAATGAGAAGGAACGACATACAGTCCAACCACTATGAATGCACACCGGGTATAAGGGTGCATTTAGACGAAAATTTATCTACAAAATTTAACCAGCCTTTTTGGAATGGATTGTGCATGTCAATGATAAAAGGAGTATAATTGATTTACAAATTTAATAATATAAATAAGTCAGTCAAAATGACCCAAGCCGAATTATTTGTCATATGAAAAGGATCGGAAAACCCCTTGCACATGCAGAACATAGATTTAATATCCAAATCGCAAGCTAGGGACGTGCATTTAAAGAGGTTGTTGGTTTGACTGTATTTTCTCCAATCAAATAATCACTACTGATACGGTCAATAATTTCACGGATGGTGAATTTTTTTGGGACATTGAATCGAGATCCTCCACGTGGCTACGTGGCAATTAATAATTAGAAATCACGTGGAAGTTAATGATTATGTCAAAACTTTATGGTGATTGGTACTTTGGGGACGGATTATCGGTTATGTTTTAAAAAGTGGTTAATAGATCAACATCTAGTCGACCGTTTATCAATGTAATTTTTTAACTATTTTCCCAATACTTGATACTTTCAGTGTGTCCCGTGTTGGGTTTAAAAAGGTGATGTAACAATCTATTTTTTTTTTTTTTTAATTTGTATGTAATAATAGCTTATATAATTGCCTTTCGAGATTAAATTTAAACGCCAATTCTGGATTTCTAAGGAAAATCACGTGTTGTTAGTTTGTTGGATCAACTGGTCGTGTAACGGTTTTAGCCGTACAAATAATTGATTTCGTTTTTCTCAAGGAAAATTTTCCCTCGCTACAGATATTTTTTTTTTTTTTTTTTTTTTTGTCATGGAACAAATGCAACACGTTATTGATTTTCCGAGAACTAAGCGAAATGAATCAAGTTGTAACACGAAACAAACGTCGGTCGTTAACCCCTCTCCCAATTTTAGTTATCTCTTCAACTCTTTTCCTTCAAATGTAAATAATTCAAACGAAACGACAGCACAAGCAGCAGGTAAAAGTACAAAAGAAAGGGAACGCGCACGACCTAAACAATCAATTAAGAGGCGTAGGACACAATGTGGAACGAAGCAATCAAAGAAGAAACAACCACCAAAAGAAAATAATATTTTGAGATTTGCACCAGAAATTTTCGTGTACATATGTAAATTCCTTCGACCGATTGATTTAATTTCATTAAGTAAAGTTTGTAAATTATATCACAATTATTTATGTTCGGATGATGTACATAGTACTGAAGATATTTGGAAATTTTCAAGAGAGAATCATGAAGGGATGACATTAATACCACCTGAAGGAATGAATGAACGGAAATATTGTATGTTATTAGTTGAAAGAGGATGTCAAATATGTAAAAAACCCAAGATTAGAAAGATTTATTGGGCTTTCCGAGTCAGGTGTTGCCGAGAATGTTTATTGAAGCATACCAAAAGTGAATATCGAATTCTTCAAGAATTAAAGATATCACCCGTGATACTTTATGGACTCGCCTATACGACTCATTGTTTTTGGAATAAATGGAATGGCGAATTCCCCGTGAAATTTTATTGGTTATCCCAGGTGGAGAAGATGGAGAGAGAATATCAATCTTTGCCTCCAGATCAACGTAACAGGTGGGTCATGGACATGATGAGAAAAGGTCAAAATTTAATGACGGATGTTAATATGCGATCTTAGGTGTGATATAGTAAAGAATATCTTGTATATATATATACCTTTTTAAAGTTTTTTATTTTTTTTTTTCTTTTTGATATTTATTTGAATGGGACAAAACAAATTCCTTTTTCATAAATTTAGTACCTTTTATTTTTTTACTTTGTTCACAAATAAATCAATAATATCATTGCTAGAAAATTCAATCACCAATTATTTACTTGCGCGTCAAATCGTTGTGCGGAATTTGCGGAATTTTATTAATATTATTGTTATTATTATTAAAAAAAAAATATATCTGAAGAAAAAAGATAAATAAAATAAAGATGTTTGAATTTGGCTTGTTTTTTTAGAAATCACCTTCTTCATGAATAAGTTATTTATTTGGGTTATGGTATTATTTTTCAAATATGGTTCATCTTTTAATTTCAACATATGTGATTTTAATAATAAGCGGGCGGTTAAACATGACTTGAATGAAGGTTTTTTTTTCTTTTTCCTTTTTTTTTTTTTACACGAGTTTCAATTGTTTATGTTTGTGAAAAATTAATTCGATTTGGTTTAGGTTTATTTTGCAAACCGTTTTTCTTATTGTATTTGTTATTTACCTTTTCATCATTAATGCAAAGAAAAGCACCGGGATCATTACACAGTCACCCATGGCAAAAAGATATTCGTACGAGAGGAATAAACAAAATCACAAGCCGGTAAAGAAAAATTACAAAAGTTGTTGATTATTTTTTTTTTTTTGCATGAGCAAAAATCATTTCATTACAAAAAATAAATGTGTTTTAAAAAAAAAAAAAAAAACCGGTTTTATTTTTTTCTTGCATGGTACGAATTGTTAACCTAGAAAAGATCTCAAAACTTATAAGTTTTGACCCCTGGCATAATCGTAAATAAATAATGGCATGATAATTTTTTTTTTTTAATTAAAAATAATTAATCTATTCTTGGATTGGGAAAAAAAAAAATAAGTAAATAAAGAATGTTGGGATAAAATAAGCCACTTTAATTTTTTTTCAATAACTCGGCGCGTGCGAATTTTTTCCTTTTTTTCCTTTTTCAAATTCATGCGCAGTAGTTCTTTAACAGTTATATTCTATAGTTTGGTTAATTTGGTGATCTGCGAACAATTATGAAGGTCTGTCTATAAATAGGATCCTTTTATAAGCTGTACCGCCAAAACATGTTAAATGCAATATAAATATAAATTAAAAAACTAAAAAGAATATTAAAAAAAAAAAAAAAAAAAAAGAAAAGAAAGAAGAAGAAAAAAGAAGTTTTGATTATGGAATTCAATAAGTATCACAAGTCACGATGATTTTTCAAAAAAAAAAAAACACCTCAATCATGCATGCGATGTAATTTTTTTTTTTCGCATTGACAAATTAGCACCACTTTATATCTTACACATCACGTTGATGATAATATGCGTGCTACAAACAATTTCATCCTATCATTGAATGGTTAGGTTTTGAACTCATCCCTTTATGTAAAAAAAAACTTAAGAGGAAAGAAAAAAGGTTGTGTTTACGCGTCAATAAAAAATCTAATAAAAATTATAATAAAATAAAAAAAATAAAATGTGTTTGAAAAGCAAATTATCGTTTTATTTATTTTAAATAATCATTCCTGTCCCACGAGAAATAAATTTATTTTTACGTATATAAAATGCTGTTGTTATCCTTACGTTAAATCCCCTTTATTCCCTTTTTTTTTTTTTTTTTCTTTTCCCTTTTTACTTTTTCTTTACTTTTTTTTTTTTTTGTAAAAAAGAAAAAATTAATTAAAATAAATAAAAAGAGGAAATAAAAAAAAAAAGAAACCAAAAAATTTTCTCTATAAATTTTGATCAAAAATCTTAATTTTTTTTTTTTTATAAAAACTTTCATTCAATCATTTTGATCGAAATAAAAACAAAAATATAAATAGAAATAGAATTTCTTTTTTTTTTGAACTCCGTGAAAAAACCATTCGTTTTTTCTTTTTTTTTTTCTTCTCTTTTCTTCACGATAATTACTATATAACGTTAAAAATACGTTCTCTCTCTCTCATATTCTTTTTTTTTTTTTTTCTTTTTAATATATAAAAAAATGTCATGGGCGAAAATCATCGGAAATTTCTTTAGTGATGACAACTCGTCTTCTAAAAACGCTCGTAAGATATCCAATAATGATAATAATGATCATGATAAGAATAATGGTAACGATAATACCACATCAAAAGAAACTGCGCCACTTCCCGATCCGTTGCCATCAATTCCTCCCAACTCAACACCAATTCCTACTTCTCAGGCTCAAGTTGATTCTTCCTCACAGTACTCCGCATGTGATATCCCTCAGCAGTTGGTCGAGGAAAATGAATTCTTATACCTTCAACTACCCGAGGATGTTAAATGTGTTTTGGATAAATTGCGTGTAATCCAATACTCCGAAAAATCCATCATGTTTGATCAGCAAATGCCAAATGGTGAATGGCAGGTAATGTTGAAATGATCTCTTTTTCTCGTTTTAATTTTGATGTACAATTCACTAAACTACTTTTTTTTCTTTTGCAGAGCCCATTTGCCACCCTTGAAGCCGCCTTGATGTCGATCCTTTTATTGACTCCGACATTGTTGCTTTCCAACGCTCTTAAAACTCCATTTAAAGACGATGATCACATAATTGATTATGTTGA